TGCACCATGTTCACAGAGCAGAAGTAAACCCAGAGGACGGATCCAGATAACAGTTTACTGTACTGTAGTGACAGTGTGGGCAGATTGGTGCTTGCTGAGATTTGCAGCAGCTGGCTATTGTCAGGTTATATAGGGATGGAGGGTGGATGATGGATGTTGGGAGATTAGAGGAGCATCATTCCTGGAGCTTCTGACACCACCCCTGCTCTCATCCACACTCACACTGGGTCCAGCAGGTTTACATAAGAAGGCAGAATGGAATCTGTTATTGTAAGTGTAGGAATGGTGTGATGGATACAGACAGCGTCTGCTCTTATCTGGAGATGGCATGGAACTCTGAAACAGGAGGCTGAGATACAGTACAGGCCTGCACACCAAACAAGCCAGGCTGCTGCTGGTTTATATAGCACCAACTCATTCGCCCATTGGTCTGTAGATCTGTTAGATGTGTCAACCCAAACTTTGTGTACAACATCAAGATCAAAACCCAAGTTTATCCTGGAGCACATTTTTTAGAGTAAAACATATCTTGCCGTCCATCACCAGATCTGCCTATACATTGTATATTCTAGTATGGGCAGAACAACAGGAACAGCCTGCTCCATCACCAAACCTGCCTATACATTGTATATTCTAGTATGGGAAGAACAACAGGAACAGCCTGCTCCATCACCAACCTGCCTATACATTGTATATTCTAGTATGGGAAGAACAACAGGAACAGCCTGCTCCATCAACAGACCTGCCTATACATTTTATATTGTAGTATGGGCAGAACAGGAACAGCCTGCTCCATCACCAGACCTGCCTATACATTGTATATTCTAGTATGGGCAGAACAACAGGAACAGCCTTCTCCATCAACAGACCTGCCTATACATTTTATATTGTAGTATGGGCAGAACAGGAACAGCCTGCTCCATCACCAGACCTGCCTATACATTGTATATTCTAGTATGGGCAGAACAACAGGAACAGCCTGCTCCATCACCAGACCTGCCTATACATTTTATATTGTAGTATGGGCAGAACAGGAACAGCCTGCTCCATCACCAGACCTGCCTATACATTGTATATTCTAGTATGGGCAGAACAACAGGAACAGCCTGCTCCATCACCAGACCTGCCTATACATTGTATATTGTAGTATGGGCAGAACAACGGGAACAGCCTGCTCCATCGCCAGACCTGCCTATACATTGTATATTCTAGTATTGGCAGAACAAGATTTGTAGCCGTTTTTATATATTTTTGTATACTGGCATGAATGAGATCTGCTTATTGTAAAAATAATTCTGAAGCTCAAGTAAAAGATGAAATATTAATGAGATGAATGATAATTATGAATACATCATTAAAGTGGTTATAAAGTCAATTCATTTTTCACCTTATTTAATTAAGGTAAAAAATGTTACATGACCTGTTTCTTCCCCCTACCAAACACTTACCTGAGCTGTGCCCATCCGCAGCAGAACTGCTCTCTCTTCCTCTTCTCGCAGGATAGATTGAGAGGAGCGGGAGCCATTGGCGTATGACAAGCTGGATTAGGCAGCATCAAGGTTGCCAGCATGTCTGCACAATCTTCCTTGAAGTGGGCACGCCCAACCCAGAGTGGTCAGTGGCTACTCTGCATGAGGCTATAAGCCAACCTGTGCTTGATCACTGATGCTCTATCTTCCATTCTGGCATGCCCTTCCTAACACTCAAACTATAAAGAATATTTCACCAGCACACCTTGGATTTTATATCAAAGTCCAGAGTATATAATGTCTATAAAAGCATTATTGTTGTCTCCACAAAGACAATTTTCCACAAAAAGCTTTTGCCCTGCTTTCAAACTGTAGTTCCATATATCTTTCAGGCAAATGAAAAAAGCACAGTTCCTTCATATGCTTGACTAACACGTTTCGCCATGCAAGGAACATATCTGCGGATTATTGAAAATGTCTTTGTCAAGACAGAAATGCATTTGTGGATATTATACTCAAGAATAAAGACACAAAATAGCGAAGAATATCTAGAGATTAATTTATGCTTTCACGGTAAATGTTGAGTGAACTCGAAAATGAGAGATTTATGACATCATAAGTTGTGACATTTCAGAGACTTGCAGGACCCATCCATTGGCATGATTGTCACATAGTAAATCAGCAGTCACTGAACCACAGTATCAGCCAAGACCCTTTTGATAAGGTGCGCAATGGGAAAATTTCAACTGTGCCTGAGACTGATTATGTATTGGGGTGAGCTGTATGAAGTGTTCATCATCTCAGGCTTTGTGTGTAGGTTTGTATAGACATCCCTGATTTTTGTTCCCTCTAATGAAAACAGCAACCTCAGAGTCAATGCAAGAACAATGTCCAGGTAGATAAGATTTCATGTAAAATCTTTGAGTTAGTGGCCTTCCAGTCCCACACATAGTCTATTACTTTGTACTTGGAATGGTTGTCCACCTTGATGGATGAATAACCTAACAAGGGTGTCCAATGTCGGTTCACCCCCATAAAGAGAGAGAATTATTAAAGTTTATCTAAGGACAAAACAGGTTTGTCATGTTGGATAGAGTAAGGAAAGGTCCTACAGGAGGGGTCTCACATCCTGTCCTGTAGAAATGACAGGAAGTAAGAGAAAATTCTTGTTGTGATGGGTGGGGTGTCACTGGAACTTGTGTCCCCATTGGAAGATATCCAAAAAAAAACCGATTACATTTTAGCCTCACTTTCAGTTAAATTGACAGTGGCCACTAGGACAACCCCTAACACTGGGTTTCAACCCCACCCACACTCCATCCAAAACTAAAAATAAAATTTTAACTCAAAGGCGTAGTCTACCCAAAGCGGATCTTACATCCCCATGAATGGTAGAGCGTTAAACCACCTATTGTTTTTATCTCTCAGTGACTCCAGTACTAGGTTATGGCTGGTACACACGGGCTGAATATCAATGACATTTGGTGGCCTGTCTCACAGAAGCGGCTCTAATGAACGGCTTTTATCGAAGGGACATACTTGAAAAACCAGTATCCAGTCAGTGCTTGCATTCAGTGCCTGTGAGTGCTGATCAGTGAGTTCTGGTGGTGGTGGTGCTGGGGGGGGTGGTCCCCCTTTCAGATCACAATAGCTCAGAGAGGAAGATCATTGCACTAACATTGCTTCATTAATATGCAGACCTCTCAGTTTTTTTCTATACAGCCTACTGGCTGGGAAACAAAAAGCTACCCATGTGTACCTAGCATTATTTGTGCTTTTGTTCCCAGATCTGCACATTTCCAAAGACAATACAAGGAGCTGCCTGCTGAAAATTTAATTTATTGTATATTATGCTGGGTATAACAGGAACACACCACAGTGGGTGGGAATCAATATATGACCTTGGACATCAAAGTGTGAGTCCCCAGCAGATGTAAGAAGGCTGTGGGTGAGCCAGCCCAACGGACTCCAGCAGAACCGGATAATAGACATGATTTGGCCTTCCTGCTCCAGCCGCCTTAAGTATAATTACATGCAACATGTATACGAAAACTAAAAGCTGGAGTTTGGTTTCTTTAGAACAGCAACTCAACCAGGGGCGGACTGACAATTCATGGAGCCCCCCGGGCAACTGGGGATCATGGGGCCCCTGTGTCCTTGCCCACACTCAAAACACACCCAAAAAAAGCCTATAAAAAGGTACCAGGGGCATTTTATGGGGCCCCCTACTGACCCCGGGCCCTCGGGCAGTGCCCGAGTGCTCGAATGGTCAGTCCGCCCCTGGACTCAAGAATGAAATGTGGTGCCCATCTTCCAGTAACCCCACGTGTAGTGGGATGTGAGCGACTATTGAACGTGAGGTGACTCCATGGGTTTATTATTACCAGCGGTAGTTGGGTTCTTAGTGGAAGGTTAACTGAGCTTTATCCAATTATTACTGAGCCATTGTAAGCATGAAACGAAGAACTAGTTCTGCATCTTTCTGTCTTGTCACTCTGCTACCTGTCAGGTACGGATAACCCGCAGAACTGTACGTACCTGTCTGTCCCAGGCTGAGGACAATCCAGACTGATGGGCCCTGCAGCTACATGACTCACTCCAAGACCCTCTTCATTTCCAGGCTCATTCATGGAGCTGTAATCAAACAAAAGCTGTTCAGAGTCTTATCTCTAGCTAACAGAATCCTGAAAACCTCTGTACATACCCCTCCACTTCCCTGTCCTCATCCCAGCCAAGAATAACACAACATGGAAGTCAGAAAGACGAGTCAGCTGGGTGGAAAGGTGGTGAAGTTCTGTAGAGATGACTTCACTGTATCTTTGCACAAACGTGGCTTTTTATAGTGTTTTTTTGATGCTGTAATCTCCTGTAGGAGAAAAAATGTTACTAAGCTTACAGAGTGCATGAGGTCTTATATTGGAAGTCCAATACTGCTGCTATCACAGCTCCATCCTCCTCTTTCTCTGTGTCAAACTACTGCTGATGGGGCTGTTCCTGGTTCCTAGTTACCTGAAAAATGCAAAGGGACATTTCAATCAGAACTGTTAAATAAAAGGATATTTAAACCCAAGAACAAAAAATGTCATGTTGTGCAGCTCTCCAGTCCTGAGATGTGGTGGCTGCACTAGTTTTCTTTTTTAAGGCTCGGAACATTTTCAATGTTGATCTTCTGGGTCCCACTCAGATTCCATCTATGCAGCTTCCCCCTCTGCACACTGACCACATGCACTACCCCCATTCATAGAATGCCTTTTGCTTTTTTTTTTAAATGAATACAAGGGTGATTTTTTTACTAAAGCTGGAGAGTCCAAAATCAGACTCACTTCTGCATAGAAACCAATCAGCTTCCAGGTTTCATTGCCAAAGCTTCATTGAACAAGCTGAGGTTAGAAGCTGATTGGTTTCTATGCAGAAGGGAGTCTGATTTTGGACTCTCCAGCTTTAGTAAATAAACCCCAAGGTGTCCTCTGATTGGACGAGGTGGAGATTGTGATGTCATCACCCCTCCTCTCCACCTTGTCTAATAAAGAACACCTTATATACACTGAAAACAGTAAAAGACATTCTATGAATGGGGGCAATGATGAGCGGAGACCACCTTGGAGTTCAGATGTAACTGTTTTTCTATAATAAATGTGTAGGGGTATGATCAGGGGCGGACTGACCATTTGGAAACTCGGGCACCACCCGAGGGCCCGGGGTCAGTAGGGGGCCCCATGAGATGCCCCTGGTACCTTTTTTATAGGCTTTTTTGAGTTTGGGCAAGTACACAGGTACCCCATGATCCCCTATTGCCTGGGGGCCCCATGAGTTGTCAGTCCTCCGCTGGGTATGACATCTGAGGGGTGTTCACACAGTCATACACGTGGCTTTATATAACGGATGTATTTTACCAATAAAGCATTGATGTTACGTGTTTATAAGCAGAGGTGGGAACATTTTATCATGAACAAATAGGCTTGCAGTAATATTTAAAGTAGAACTAAAGGCACTATACTTAAAGTGATTGTAGAGTTATTTTATTTAATAACAAACTTGTCTACTTACCTGCTCTGTGCTGTGGTTTTGCACAGAGCAGCCCCGATCCCCCTCTTCTCGGGTCCCCTATCAATGCTCCTGGCTCCTCCTCTTTTCTATGTGCCACCATAGGAAGCCACCTCCTATGGTGGAACATGTGCAGGATTGATCCTGAGGCATGCTGTGTGTGTCTATAGACAGCAAGAGCCACTGAATTTGATTGACAGCAGCATGAGCCAATGAGGAGCGAGAGAGAGAGAGAGAGAGTGAGAGAGCAGTGGTGCTGCTCTTGGGCACAGCGCTGGATCGAGATCAGGCCCAGGTAAGTATAATGGGAGCTGGGGGGGTGCTGACAGTAGAAGTTTTTTTTTGTACCTTATTGCATTCTCTGCATTAAAGTGGTATTAAACCCCGGACCCTGCATTCACTATATCTGGTATCCCACAGTAAACACAGCATGGAAATAATTTTAGTAAATATAAACTGCTAAATACCTTTTATTATCAGCAGTTAGAGCAGTCTTGTGACTTCTATCAGTGTCCAGCCAAGCAAGTTTTTAGGAGAAGTTTTAATTTTGCTCTAGGAGGATGCAGAACCCCTGACCCCTGTCTGGACAGTGCTGATTGGCCCTGTGCTGATCACATGCACTCTCTCAAGAAAAAAAAAACCTCACTAGCAACACACACCAAACTGAGCATGTGCAGAGTGACTCCACATGATATGTCTTATCAGGAGATAAGAGGGGGACACTGGAAGAAGGGGAGGATTAGAGAAGTCAGGATCAAATAGCCTTTTTACACAATGCAGAGTATTAACCCCTTTGGTTCCACAGTGAGTATAACAAGCATGCTTTACTGCATATACAGGCTGATTTTACTGTTGTGGGTTTAGCAACACTTTACGTTTTGCTACTCTCGGTTGCAGTGACAATGTTGCCCAAAAGGGAAGGGGAATTCGTAAATTGTACTGGTGCAACCAAACCAGAAGTAGAGGGAAATGTTCAGGAGATGGATTTGTGATTGTGGAAGAAGGGGACAATCAGAGAAGACAGGATCAAACAGCCTTTTTACACAATGCAGAGGATTAACCCCTTAGGTTCTACAGTGAGTATAACAAGCATGCTTTACTGCATATACAGACTGATTTTACTGTTGTGGGTTTAGTAACACTTTAAGGTAAACAACCTTCAGCCTTTACAACCACTTTAATCACTCTCTATTGTTCTGGGCCCTTCGTCTTCTCCCTGGGTGCTGGTCTTCCGGCATCTCTATTGGCTGCCACGGGATGATGTAACTCATGTGAATGTACAGGAATAAGTCACAGGAACCAGCGGCGGTGATGTAAGCTGAGCTGAGCATGCGCAGTTCTCTTTAGATGCCACAGAAGACTGAGAGCAGACAGGTAGGTGGATTTTACACTGGATGCCTCTACTGCAATGACAGCCTGTCTGCTCGCAGCCTGTTGTAGAATGCATTCGCTTCCACTTTAAGTTGGTGACAGTTTGGCAGTGAAGCAGTTAATGCTCTCGTGTCCCATATAAAGTGCAGTTTGCACCATTGGTGACACCTTCTCACATCTGGCCAAATCGCTCACTAGGCTCTCCTAAATCCACTGCGATTCCACAAATCCAGCCCTGTTCTCCTGACTGCGTGCTGCTTCCTGTTCTGTGAGATGGTTCCCAGCACTGAATTTCAGGGACCCCCCCCCCCCCCCTAGTTCATCCAAGTTCATCCAAGTTCATCCTGCAGCCAGCGCCCTGGCCGGGTGTCCTCATCTGCTCCTGGATCCATATAATAACATACTTTCCTGGATTCTCCTCCTATACTCTCCTCTCCGGATGAGGCTCCCATTCATGTCACAGCTCATCTGCACTGGAAGGGCCCCCATCCCTCCGCCTGATATATACAGAGCAACTGCAGTTCATCATCTCTATGCAGGTCAGAGAGTGAAAGGCACTACTCTGATTGGTTGCTTTGGGTAACACTGCCAGTTTAGGCATTGACACTCACCCATCACCTCCTGTATATTAATACCCAAAAGAATTGTTTTAATTATTGTTTTCAATGCATCTAGGGTATATGTAGGGAATCTGATATTCTCTGCAGGTGAATCTTCCTACTCCATGTGTTTTAAATAACAGTGATTGATTGGCCACCTGTTTGGTGAAAGTCACATTCACTGCCTAAAGTCCAACTCCGGCCAGAAAAATCCCTTCCAGTGAGGCTGTGTCTGCTCTGCAAGGGTTAATAGCTCATTTTGTCCAGGGGAGAGGAGAACCAGTTTTACCTGCCTGATCCACCATTCTCCCAGCAGGGGGCGCTCTTCAGTGGTTCAGCGGTGGACTGTCCCATGGCATCCTGACATCTAGAGCAGGGCTATGGATGATATTGTGGTTTTGATGACATCAGGACCCTAGACCCCTATAGCGTGGGGGTGCAGATGCTGTGGGGACCGGTCCAGCTGTGGGGAGGAGCAGAGAACCAGAGAATCTGTTATTGTTCCCCTAGACCAGGAGTCTCCAAACTTTCTAAACAAAGGGCCAGTTTACTATCCTTCAGACTTTAGGGGGGGGGGGGGGGGGGGGCAAAAGTTGGTGTGAATGGGGAGGAATAGGACACAATCATTGATAGTGGGAGGAATCACACCCCATTATTGGTGTCAGTGGGATGTATAGTGCCCCATTATTGGTGTCAGTGGGAGGTATAGTGCCCCATCATTGGTGTCAGTGGGAGGTATAGTGCCCCATTATTGGTGTCAGTGGGGATGTATAGTGCCCCATCATTGGTGTCAGTGGGAGGTAGAGTGCCCCATTATTGGTGCCAGTGGGAGGTATAGTTCCCCATTATTGGTGTCAGTGGGATGTATAGTGCCCCATTATTGGTGTCAGTGGGAGGTATAGTGCCCCATTATTGGTGTCAGTGGGATGTATAGTGCCCCATTATTGGTGTCAGTGGGATGTATAGTGCCCCATTATTGGTGTCAGTGGGAGGTATAGTGCCCCATTATTGGTGCCAGTGGGAGGTATAGTGCCCCATTATTGGTGTCAGTGGGGTGTATAGTGCCCCATTATTGGTGCCAGTGGGATGTATAGTGCCCCATTATTGGTGCGAGTTGGGAGGTATAGTGTCCCATTATTGGTGTCAGTGGGAAGTATAGTGCCCCATTATTGGTGCGAGTGGGAGGTATAGTGCCCCATTATTGGTGCCAATGGGAGGTATAGTGCCCCATTGTTGGTGCCAGTGGGAGGTATAGTGCCCCATTATTGGTGTCAGTGGGATGTATAGTGCCCCATTATTGGTGTCAGTGGGATGTATAGTGCCCTATTGTTAGTGTCAGTGGGATGTATAGTGCCCCATTATTGGTGTCAGTGGGAGGAACAGTGTCCCAAGGGCAAGCAAAGCACTGTATCTGGCCCCTAGGTCGCAGTTTGGAGACCACTGCCCTAGACATAAATGAGCCATTAACCCTTACAGTGCAGGCAATGCCCCCTGCAAGTGATAATTGTTTTCTGGCCAGGCTTTAAGCAGTGAATGTAACTTTCACCAAACCGGTGGCCAATCAATCACTGTCCCGGAGTTGGGCTTTAAAGAACTTCAGTCCGCCTCCCCTCTACCACTAATACAAAACAATCTACTCCCGTGCCCAGCAATCCAGCAGTGTTGTAAACAGTAAAGCACTGCTCCAGGTAGACCCCCCGCTACAATCCCACACATACCTCCCGCTCAGCTCGTCATGCAGGACACAATGTAATCACCAAAGTCCAGGCAGCTGCACTCCAAATGCAATCCATATTTATTGCAGCATAAAAAGCAACATGGTCCAGCATATAGACACTGTGGGGAATGTGGAACACAGTCAACGCATTGCGCATTGTACTGGAAACGCATTGCATTTCTTCTCACTCTGCACAGTGTCTATATGCTGGACCATGTTGCTTTTTATGCTGCAATAAAAATGGATTGCATTTGGAGTGCAGCTGCCTGGACTTTGGTGATTACATTGAACCCAGCAGTGTTCTCTAGGGTCCTGCACAGCCATCTTCTACTGTCACCAGGGCAGCTGGCCGTCTCTTCCACGTTCTGGCGGTCAGGCCCTGTGAGGACGCACAGCTGTTGCCTAATTCTCACCTAGACAAGAAAACAGAAATTGTAGGGAAGGATCTCCAACATAAGTATCCCCCCCCCTCGAAAAAAAATAAAATAAATGAAAATATGCAATCGTGTGAGAGGAGGGGAATAGGGAGAAGCAGATGGGGAGGGTAACTGTCTGCTTTAATTATCATTTTAATCATTCTATATCTGCTGCTTGATTTTCTCTGTTTTTCCCCCATTTTTTTGTCTTCCGTATCCACTGCTGGGGGATCAGGTAAGCTGAACCCCTATGACTACGAGCAGTAGCTCGAAACGCGTCAGTGTAGAGCTACAGCAGGTGTGACGCCACGCCGCCACGAGGGGCCCCGGCAGCCATTTTACTTGCATCTATGGTCAGGAACCTTTTACATCTACTCCTATCTGTATTACTTACCTTTGAACAGAATCAGGGGCGGACTGACCATTCCAGCACTCGGGCACGGCCCGAGGGCCCGGGGTCAGTAGGGGCCCTATAAAATAAAATGCCCCTGGTACCTTTTTTATAGGCTTTTTTGAGCGTGGGCAAGGACACAGGGGCCCCATGATCCCCTATTGCCCATGAGTTGTCAGTACACCCCTGAACGGAA